GAGTAAATATTTTTCTCATAACTGTATCATTCAAAATCGATTTAACACTGATTGATGTAGCAGTTGCGAATGTTTTCGCCGAAAATAAGTAGGTCAAGCAGCAGTTGCTATCTTTGTGGTGTGACTCCAAAAATTATGAACTCATTCAATTCAATAGAACGACCTATGAATGACAGCTTTTTAAAATATGGTTTATCGGCCGTACATGCGCAAATAACATTTTTTTTTTGATATTATACATATTATTGAACGACTTCAACAAGAATTTAGGAGAAAAATGGGTCTTGTAGTGGAGAGGATAAAACTGGATGTGGAACATCAAACGTTGGCAATACGGCTCGTCGTTTTTACTCAAATCTTGAAAAGTTTGCGAAAATTACTTGTATAGATATAAATCTCATAAAAAATTTCAATTTAATATTAAGAACATTGGCAAGTGGGAACAAAATAAATGCATAGTCATTCTCAGAACTATTAAAAGAACCATATTCAATTTATATCAAACATTATTCATGGTATTACATGCCAATGACAGTTCATAAAGTCCCTGTTCGTGGGTGTTACATTGTACGGAATTTTAGCATTACGATAGGGTTCCTTTCTGAAGACGCACTGGAGCTCCGAAAGACTAGGTTAGAAAAAACCCGAATAAGTTCTAGGGAGGCTTGCAATCGTGACCATTTAGCTCACTTACTTTTACGTCAGAACCTTTGCTTAAAAATTACACCCAAAAAAAAAGAAACATGAAACAGTGATATCAGACAATTTATAGAATTACAAAGAAAATAAGAAATTAATTTATTATCCTTTTAATTTTGCTTACTATTATCATTATAATATAATATTTGTTCTAAAAAATGTACAAAACAAAGAAATTATCAATTTGTCAAGCAAAAGAGGCAGCGTAATCTAATCATATTTCACTCTTCGGTCCGCCTTTTACTAGGGTGGTGGGCGTGGCATTAGGCCAATCTTCCCCAACCTTCAGATTTATGTTTTTCGGGTAAAAGCAAATGTACAAACCAAATTTCATCAGAATCGGATC